AAAACTGGAGAGGAGGCAATCGCAAAAGTTGTTCATCAGAAATTCTTATTGATTTTCAGAAATAACATTGATTAGTTATTGGTTATACATTGTTGAACTATAATGGCATTTTATGGCTACTTTGTCTCAATCTAGAACCTGCATAGCAAATGGCTTCCAGAGGTAATTATTTAGCTTAAGGGGAAATGAGATCATGCCTGCTATTACATTTTAAGTGTCCTTCTGGGCCTGATATCTTAAAGGGGCTCACATTTATCAGATAAAAGATTTTTCTCTCTCACCTTCAAAACCTGATCATTTTGTTGGTCACTGTTGGTTCAGTGATTTAATGAAGGAAAAAAGTCCCTTCATGTTCACTGTTGCTTCCAATACCTGCTGATTGAACAGATGTCCAATTAAAATTTGTCTAAAATATAAGATAAAACAGAAGTATTTAAATATGTATCGTTCACATTTTCTTTTTTTTTCTTAGGTACTAAACTTTATGCTTCCTCGTCTAAGCAAGAAAAAAGTGGATGCCATTATCTCTGAGGCACAAGATGCTGAATATAAACTTGAGTTTGTTCCAACTACTACCATAGAATATGTTAATAGCTTGGTATTTCTTGATGAAATTCAGGAACGGGTGAGTTGATTATCCATATTACTCAATATTTTAGATCATATGGTAAGAAAGGTTTCATGAACCAGTGCAAAAAGTAAAGGAACCAGAGTGGGATTGGTGGGAAATGGCAAAATAAAATACAAAAGACAAAAACATGAGAGACAGAGATGGAATTGAGAGGCAAAGATGGGATCGGGAGGTCTGGGATATTTTTCTCTGTCACCAGCACCTGAATGCCCAAACAGCTTTATTTTTAAACAGGCAGTACAAAGTTGTTTCTTAAGGAAGTAAGACATATTTCAATTTAATTATGAGAAGAGAAATCAGGCACAGATTCCCAAGTGAACAACATCTATTTTTACTGTGTGACCTCTAAAATGTGGGCAATACTACATATCTACCAGATTAGCTGGAAAATGTACATGACTGCTGTAACGTGCAGCTGTAAAGTTAAAAGCTAAAGTTTTAAGGAAAACATGTTTTTAGTCTGCTGGGTTAGAAATTAAAACTTAGAGAAAATATGTTATCTGCTGAGGAAAGTCAGTAGAGGGGGGTTCATCCCCTGGATGTTCTCCCAAGCTGTGTGGGCCCTGCCACCTCATAGCTCATGCTCTACAGAAAGGAAGATACAGGAAAAGAAAAAGTTAGAGAATAAAAGTCAAAAAACAACTCTTGAAATATCAGAAACTCTTGGCTAGGTGTGGTGACTCATCCCTGTAATCCTAGCACTTCAGGAGGCTGAGGTGAGAGGATCACTTGAGTTTGAGACTAGCCTGAGCAAAGCAATACCCCTCTCCCTATCTCTACTAAAAATAGAAAAAAGTAGCTGGGCATTGTGGTGGGCACCTGTAGTCTCAGCTACTTCAGAAGCTGAGGCAGGAGGATCTCTTGAACCCAAGAGTGTGAGGTTTCTATTAACTAGGCTGATGTAATGGCATTCTAGTCTAGGCAACAGAGTAAGACTCTGTCTCAAAAGTAAAATAGCAAAAAGAAATGTCAGAAACCCTTTCGGACAGAGTACATGGATGTTCTACATCACAGCAATAATGCCAGCTAACAATTATCAGATTCATACTACTAGTCAGGCACTGTTACAATTTTTTTATATGCAGTGTATTTTTAATCCTCACAGAAACTTAAGAAGTATGAACAGTTTTTATTGTCATTCTGCAGACAAGGAAACAGAAAATAAAATGGGCTATGGTGTCCGTGATCACAGACGTGTATGTCTACAAGGCATGTATATTTGTGGTAGAGCTGGAATTTAGACTTGGGTCTCTTTGGCTGCAAAGCCACTGTTTTCAATCACAGTTTATTTGGAATTCTAATTTTTAGTAAGAGTTAACAGAAATGTAGTTTAGATATTAGGTATAATAGAAGTCTTTACCCTTAAACTATACTAACATAATAGTCAGGAACTATTATGAATGAAAGAAACCCAACTCAGACTAGCTTAACTAGGGACATGGGATAGATAGAAAAAAGTAAATGAGATTGAAGTGATGCAGATGAAGAGGGCACGTCTCTCTCCCCACCCTCCTCTCTCTCATGCAGCCAGTCTCTCTCTCTCTCTCTTTCTCTGTCACACACATACATGCGCACACAGACATACATTCACTCCTTTGTTTCCTTTGCTTCTTTCTCTCTGGAATTCTGGTTTCCTCCTTTTGTGTTCCTCTTTGTGGCAGGCAATCTAGTATTTGGCTTGTATAATCAGTTGATGAAGTGTTCATGAACTTTTCATTCATATGATGTTCAGCATGTGAAATAGGGATAAAGTATTTTCTTAACTATCTGAGATTTTGTAAGAACTGTTACAAGTAAGGAATTATAAACTGAAGGAAATAAGTCATTAACAACCTGAATAGTTTGTTATATACTGTGAAAAGAATTAATTTTAAAAGACTATTTCACATGGCTACAGAATAAACAGGTGTTTTTGTTTTGTTTTGTTTTTTCATTTCAAGAAATAGTGCCTTCTCAAAGGCTAGGAATGATTATGGTCTTCCTCAGATTTGCTTACACATCATCCTGGAAGTCTAAAGATGCCAAGCCTCTTTGGAAAAATATGCAAAATCCACTTAAGCAAGCTTAGGCCAAAATAGGGACCCCATTTAGGGATTAAAGGGTGTAACTAGGCTTAGGAAGCCATCAAGTATGTAACTAGGCTTAGGAACTAACCAGAATCGGGGACAGGACAACTGTAGAAAACGCAGGGAAGTAGTCCTCCTGCTCTAGCCCTCCTCTCTTCATTTCTCTGAGGGTCGGTCAGTTTCACTTCTTTTCCATTGCAGAAGGCTGCCTCTGCTTCTTTATCCCACCACACCAAATATGGCCACCAGCAGCTTCCAAGTTACAGGTTACGCGTCTAGCCATTCACCAAGAGGGAGAATCTCTTCCAATATCAAATCTAAGTGTCTACTAAAAGGGCTCAGGTCCCTCTTTCTGTTCTATAAACTATATTAGGAACACAGGATCACCACAGACTCAGTGGCTATTAAAGTCAGACAGCTCTCACCTTGGAGTCTCAACAGGAAGTTGATACACCAGGCAGAAGACACGGACTGTGTCCCATCTCCCTGACATTGTCTGTGCTTGCTGGTGGTATGCTGGAGAAGCAGCTTCCCTTAGAGAAATGCTCCACACACACAAACAGCTTTTTGGGGAACCTCATCCATTCAGTCAGCAAATTAAGTGAACACCTATCTAGTAGGGTACAAGGATTATAATGATGAGCAAGAAGCTCGGAGTCTAGAATGCAAGTAGACAATTATGCTATAGTGAGCCTAGCTAGGTACAACATAGGATGGGGGTGGGGAGGGTTGTAGCCCTTCTTACCTATGGGTCACAGAAGGCTTTCTGGAACACAAGATGTTAACCATGTCCTAAAGTACGTCAAACATTCAGGTAAGCGTTTCCAGGGAGAGGGAAAACCATGTGTAAAAACAAGAAGCAACATGACAAAAACAGGATTTGGTGATTTGTGTCTTATGGAGAAATGATGTTTGGTGGAAATGTTGGTGAACTGTATATAGCTAAAGCAGTGTTTTTAAGGATAAGAGAGAAAGAATGAATTATAGAGATGTTAACTAAGTAAAATTGAAAGGATTTAATGGGTAACTGAATGACAGGACAGCAAAAGGATTCTGAGGTGACTCTTAGATATCTTTTCCTCAGAGTAAATTGTGGTATCAAACCAGTAAGGGGAGGATAGTCCATATAATTCACTGTCTGATCGGGACATATTTGTTTTTCTGAGAATAAAACAGACACTATTGATCATTATACTAGGACAATAAGTACAAACTAGGACACTCGCAGAGAAACCTGAATATATGCTCACCCAAAATATAGAAAATAAAAGAAGATGAATAGATCTTGGTAGAGAGAGACTTGGTTCTGTTTATAACTTGTTTCAGACAATAGACACATTGATCTAAAGTCACATGACTCACATAGATAGCTTAGAAAAATGGGAAGATTTTATTCTATGTTTGCAGTAGTATCTTCCAGAATCCAAAGGTATAGAAAGAATCTGCCCTTTAAAAAAAGAAAAAGAACTAAGGACTAAAGGAGCACAGGGAAACCGAAAGGCTTCTTTCTTTCATCCCTGCTTCTCTCTAGAACGGTGGTTCTCAAAGGGTGGACTCCAAATCAGCAGCCTTAGCATCACCTGGGAACTTGTGGAAATGCACGTTCTTGGGCCCTACGCTAGACCTCCTGAATCGACATGCTGGGAAGAGACTCAGCAACTTATTTGTACAAGTTTTCCAAAGTCACTGCAATGCAAGCACAAGATTGATAATTATTTTTCTAAAAGCTTCTCTGCAGATACCCTCTCATGTTAAGGACCTGCTTTCTGTTTCCACATGAAAACAAATGGCCTCTCCCAACAGCTGGAGTCTAACTCTTCTGTGTTCAAGAAGAGAAAGATCAGAGCTAGAATCTCTAGATACCAATTTGCTGCTGCTTTGTTGAGCTTGTGGCCAGAAAGTTGAGCCAAGTAGTATGAACTTGGCTGAATACCCTATAACCATGTTGCTAAATTGGGAGTGAGGGATTTCTCCCTTGCCAAAACATTAGAAAAGACAAGAAATACTGTCTATTGAAGGTAGAAAAACAAAGTGAAGATGTTCAGTAGTCATTTGGATATAGTAAAATGGTTTTTTTTGTTGTTGTTGTTGTTTTTGAGACAGAGTCTCTCTATGTCATCCTGGGTAGAGTGCTGTGGCGTCACAGCTCACAGCAGCCTCAAACTCTTGGGCTTAAGCGATTCTCTTGCCTCAGCTTCCCACGTAGCTGGGACTACAGGCACCCACCACAACGCCTGGCTATTTTTTTGTTGTAGTTGTCATTGATTTTAGCTGGCCCGGGCTGGGTTCTAACCCACCAGCCTCAGTGTATGTGACCAGTACCCTACCCACTCAGTTATAGGCACCACCAATGACCTTTTTTTTTTTTTTTTTTGAAACAGAGTCTCACTTTGTCCCCCTGGGTTGAGTGCCATAGTATCATAGCTCACAGTAACCTCAAACTCCCAGGCTCAAATGATTCTGTTGCCTCAGCATCCCAAGTAGCTTGGACTACAGGTGCCCACCACAATGCCCAGCTATTTATTTAGAGATGGGGTCTCACTCTTTCTCAGGCTTGCCTCGAAGTCCTGAGCTCAGACAATATATTCATTTTGGCCTCCCAGAGAGTAAAATAATTTATTAAAGGATAGTGGAAGGCTCACCATAGGTTTGGCTTCTGAACCTGTGCAACTGGGGAAATGGCCTGTCCCCACCACCTCAGGGGCTGCTCTGGGACAATCGCTGTTCAGCACATGTGCCTGGAAACTCAGACATTACAGCTGAACATCCTAACAGCACATGTTGTCTTAAAGAACTTTAAATGTTGGCACTGTTTAATGCTACTAGAGAACAAAAGAGAAAGAAAGAAGAACCATTGTAAGAGCACTACTGTGCTCAGCACTGAACAACTTACCTCCTGGGCCTGGTTACCTGTATTATATTAAATAAGAATGCCTGTGTTTGTCATCATCCAGCAGGTTTCAGTCAATGTGATTATAATGTTAAATACCTTACTCACAGCTTGCTGTTCACGTTGTATAACAACTGTCACAGAACACACTTAAAAAGCATAATAGGACTCTCCTATTTTAAAAAGCAAATAATGTTTCTGTCTAGATTGAAACTCTTGAAGAGGAAGGAAACACCGTGATACAAATGTACAAGCTTATTGATCAATATCAGGTGCCCACTCCACCTGAAGACTTTGCTGTTTTTGCAACTATGAAGCCATCCATTGTCGCTGTTCGAAATGCCATTGATAAAGCAGTGGGTGACAGAGAAGCAAGCATTAAGCAATTCTGTCTACATCTGGGTAGAGATCTTGAAGAACTAAACAATGAAGTGAATGAAGTAAAACTACTAGCACAGGTAAGCTAAAGCAGAATTTCCCAGAAATAATCTTTGCAAAGCTTGACTATGATGATTTTTTAATTAAAGTATAATAGACAAATCAAAATTATATATGTATATATTTACAGTGTACAATGTGATGTTTTGATATATGTAGACATTGTGGTATGGTTAATAAAGCTAATTGATACCACTTCACATACTTTAGCACTGTTTTAGGGGACAGAACATTTAAGACCTACTCTTTAAACCACTGAGGAAACAGATTTGTCTTTGAGCTACAGTTTAAAATGAAAGTGTTTCTGTATTATATACCATTACTATCAAAATATATATGTAATATTTTGTATTATATAATGTTCTAACTTGTACTTATTATTTTGAAATTAGTGTTTTTATGACTTGCTAGCACATTTTACAGATATTGTCATAATTTTAAAGCCTGCTTAGCATATTAGAAAATGCCCCTTTAGTAAGGCAGAGTATAAATTGATAAGAATATTTTAAAGTTTTACAGTTGCACCAATATTGCTTTAGAAAAGATATTGGGTTTTTTAAGAAAAAAAAAGAATTTTGAATAGACATCTGAGTAATTATTAACTGAAGTGCATTTGGAAATATGATTTTGTAATGCTATGTCATGTTATCATTAACAATAGCTACATCTTAACACAGGCATATAAAACCATGTAAAGTTATAATCAAATCACAAAAATGGAAAAAAACCTCAATGTCCATCAACACAGGATTAATAAAATAATTAGTAAAATGATTACAATACAGATGTTAAAGACAACAACATGTGTTCACCTGTTGGTTTAGTACACTTGTATTGCTCAAGGAATACCTAAGTCTTGGTATTTAATAAAGAAAAGAGTTTACCTGGCTCACCATTTTTCAGGCTGTACAAAAGCGTGGCATCAACACCTGTTTCTGGTGGGAAGACTTTAGGAAGTTGCCACTCATGGTGGAAGATGAAAGGGAGCACCTGGTGAGACAGGAAGCTGTACCAGTTCCTGCAGGAACTAAAAATGAGAACTCATTCATTACAGTGAGGACAGCACCAAGCAGTTCATGAAGGATCTGCCTCCATGACCCAAACACCTCCCTATAGGCCCTCCCCCTACCACTGAGGATCAAATGTCACATGAGACTCTGTGGGGCAAAAGAAACCATATCCAAGTCATAGCCCCTGTCTTGATATGAAAATGTAAAAAAAGTTACATTGCGTGGTCCTATTTGCCAAGCATGGTTCTAAGGACTTAACATTATTTTTAATTTTGTATTGAAGGATTTTTGTATTTTCTCACAGACAAAAGTATACATAACTGTAGTTACTATCCAACTCATGGAATTATCTGAAAGTGAACACATCCACATGTCACCTAGTCATGTTAAGATCTGCAGCATTGACTGGTACCCTTCATGTTCCCTCTCAATCATTAATCCTATCTTCCTCTCTAATGGCAGCTACTGCTCTGAATTCTTATGTCATAAATTAGTTTTGCCTATTTTTGAATTTCAGTTAATTAGAATCATACAGTATATCTTTTATTTCATTTTAGTATGTTCCTGAGATTCACTCATGGTGCTCTGAGTGGATGCAATTCATCCATGTCTGTCACTATAGAGTATTTCATTATATTTTATAATTTAATTATTCATCCCATAGTTAAAGGACTTTGGGATTGTTTATAGTTTTGGACAGTGATGAGTAGTGCGCCTAGAAACATGTTTGCATGTTTAAGCTGATTTAATTCTCAAAACACTTCCAAGATTTTATTATTCACATTTTACAGATAAGGAGATTAAGTTATAGGGTTAAGTGACTTGCCCAGAGTCACACAGATATTAAATGGAGGAATCAGGATTCAAGCTCGAGCAGTCTATTGCCAATGGTTAATAGTCTGCTTTTAACTGTTGTACCATGCACTGTATTCTACACACAGCAGACTATTAAAAAGTATGAATAATTATCTTTGGTGCATATAGTAGCTTGTGAGAGGAGAAGTGCCAGCATATGCTCCATGTGTAATCAAGAATCTTAAATATCATGATGTCCATACACAAAAAAGAGAGCCTGGGATTTCTCTAACAAGTGCTTCTTTTGTAGAGGATTTGAAATTAATTCATTATCACTCTTGGGCAAAGAGCTATAACTTCATTACTTACATAAATGATACCACCTTGCTGTCAAGACTTCCACTCTTGCTGAAGGGGGAGTTGGGGAGAAACTCTAAATGTGACAATTGATGATAATTCAATTTACTTCAGTTTTAAGTAACTCTTTCATTCTAACTTGGTCTCTTCTGGATTTAAAAATCTTGACTTCCTAGCAGGCACTTCTTCACCCATGGGACCATCACCTCCCATCTTTTGCCCCATAAAGGGAAACTTGCATTTCCTCAGACTGGATAGAAGGGAGGAATGCCCAGTCCTTGTGCTTCTTTCTGGACCCTGCATCTTCCAGTGTAGTTTGGCTGGGCTGGGTCTGGCAGCTGTTAGCTCAGGGTCCTTTCTTGCTCTTTAGCCATGCTAGCCACTAGGATGCAATCTGTCATTGTTGCCACAGCCTACATTCTCAAGTAATCTGTGGCTTTCCTATCCAGCCTCAGACTTCTTTTGGTTCACCAGTTCTCTCAACAGTTTTCATTTCCAGATTCAACACACATGAGAACTTCAGGATCTCCTACATATCATACCAAAACATGAGGGACCAAAGTGTCAACACAAGCCCCTTTTGCCTGAACGCTACTCTGTTAATTTGTTCTGATCTAGATCAGGTTGCCATTTGAATACAGGGCCATGCTAAACTGCCCCCCTCCCACAGGCTATGGCTATTAGGGTTTTCACATTTCTTCAATTATCTCAAACCTTCTTGGTGTTTCTACTTTGCTCCTGAACTATTCCATGCCCATTCACTAGGGTTCACCCCAAAAGGTCAGTCAGAAAACATTTTTCTTAACATTTATATTCCTCATTTTCTCTCTTGTTCCCTCTCATAATTCAAAGGACTTTCCACTCCTTTATTGTGAAACGGAAATCTTTCTTCTGTCATACCCTCTTTTTTCTTTTCCCATTGCATTCAATTCTCACCTGAGGCCATACTGGCTGAAGAAATGTAGGAAATAAAAGTAGGTACTGCTTTAAAACAACGTTATCCCCATGGCACTTCTTTATGCAATTCTGTACTGTTTACAATGTGTATGTGTTGCTTTAATATTCAGCAAAAGTACTCATTTTAAAATAATTTATAAAAATCAGAAAGAAAAAAGAAAAAGAAAAATCAGAATTAAATCTTTTTGAAAATATTAATTCATTTCATTTCATTGAACTGCATAAATCTGTCTCAAAAAAAAGTAGGAATAACTAAAGACTATCTTAATTTTACAGGATCCACAGATTTTGGATGCTTCTGCTGACCAAGACAAAATAAAGGTTATGTTGAGTGATCTACAGTATATTCTAGATGATCTTCAAAAACGTGCATTCCAGTATAAATCTTATCAAAAGAATTTTAAGGTAATGGCAACTCTACACATTTATTTTTAAAATGTATACATAGAAATAGTATTTATGCACAAGCACTTTCAACAATATGACTGTGAACATTCAATGTTTGGACAGCTATGTGCTAGTAAGTGTGCCATAAACAGTCTCATATACGAAATACAGTAGAGCCTCTGGAAGTTGACCACCCAGAGACTGTAACAGACTAGTCAACACACAGAAGTGATCAATATAGGGAACTAGGTCTACTGTACTGTTACAATATGTATTTTACTTTCTTGTATATCTTTATATCACATTAAATCATATAATCAAAACACAGTAAAATCATGCATATGATATCATACAAAAATCAATACATTTACTGTTTTCCCATGGTTTAATCACTCTTTCTGAAAAAAGAGTCAATTTTGGTCTACTTCTTATTCTTATTACAAATGTTAAGTGGAGAAAGCAATCTCAATGCTGGCTATGCTACTCAGCATACCTGGGTATTTTTCTATAGCAAATTCAACTGCATTATCAGTTGCCTGACATCATCTTCTTTTGGAGTCTCTGCAATTTTCTGTGTCATCCTCACTTTCTTGTTCCACTTTATCAGCAGCTTCATGCACTGGTATGCTCTGCACTTCTGTACTTTGGTCAATATTGCTTGGAAAATGTCTTCTGGGTCAGGTTCATTACAGGTTGCCGCCTCATCATCCATGGCATCAAAACCTTCAAAATCTACTCCTTCAAATTCTGCCATAGGAGATGGACTGTCCGATGAGCCCAAAACATTGTGTTCTTGGTTTGTGACAAATCCAGCTTTCTTGAAACACTTCTATATCATTTCTGGCTGAACTTTATTCCAAGCAGAACTGACCCAGAGGACAGCATCCACAGTGTTAACTGATGCAGTAGATGAAATTGCTTCCACAGGTGGACCACAGGTTTGTGTTTTAGTCATGGCCCACTGCAGGAGCTGGGCTGATTAGCACATTTTAAATGTTTTGATGATGGCTTGGTCAAGATGTTGAATTTTTGAGGTAGTATTTGGAGGCACAAATTTCACTGTTACATTTGTGAGATGATTCACTTGTGGGTAGCCAGGACAGTTGCCTACCTGTTTGTAGAATAGATCATTTATTCTTCTTTAATTCTCAGTCATTACCCCTTACCCATTGCTTAAATAGGGTACCAATCATCCATGTGCCTTTTATTTGATCTCCCAGTTACAAGGAGGTCTTTGGGCTTCAGGTTCTAGAATGTACATTGCTTTGCCAATTTACCAATCACCAAGGGCTTTAGTTTCTCTCCAATTGAGCTAACACAAAGCGGAACGGTGAATTGGTCTTTGGAAAGTTCTCTGCTCTTACATTTTTTACCCTTTCATGACAAAGCTTCTCTCTTAAAAGAGTCCACTCAACAGCATTAAACATTTCATCATCTTTGAAGCCTCTGGCAAAGTCAAAAAACTTTTTGGTGAATTCTTCCACAACTTCTACCTGAACTTCATTGGATTCACCATACAAGACTTTCTGGGAGATCTCATTTTGCAGTTTGAATTTCTTAAGCCAACCACTTGATGCTTGGAAATCTGCTACCTCAAATTCCTGTGTGAATTTTTTAGCAACTTCTTGGATGTCAGCCCAGAGATTTAAGTATTAACTTCCCCCATTTGTTTAAACCAGCTTAATGGGACTTCATTGACTTCATCAAGGGAATTTTTCCTTCTTTTCCACTGTACGTCTCTGCTTTAATTACCATATCTCTCCAAGTACTAATGTTTGCATTTTTGGATGTTGCTAAAATCTTACTTACTCATACCAAAATGTTTCACTGTTTTTCTTTGGCTGCTGCTTTCCAGAAAATGTAGATCAATCTTTCCCCTTCAATGTCAGCTCTTTGAGCTTTTTCCTTTGGGCCATAATGTCTTAATTAACTGAAATATTTTTCATCAGTTGTAGGATGTACCTACAATTCAGACCACTCCTTCACATTGAAAAAATCTTCCACAACATGTGTAAACAATAGGACATTAGGACATTAGGCCTAATCCAACACATGATAATAATAAAACATGAAAACAGACCTTATGCTAAAGAAAAAATAGTTCAACTAAAGGGCAAAGCCAACATCTTCTACCCCTTGGTGTAGAGTGGACTCAACTTGTCAAGTTACAGAGGGTAAATTAATATTGTGTGACATAGTCCAAGTGGTCAAGATACAATTTATATTTATATTTAGTATATATAATTTACATATATATTTAGTCAATATACAGAGGTCAGTCTTCCAGTCTACGAAAATTGGTTCAACTTAAGGAGGTGGTCAATGTAGGGAAGCAGTCAACTATAGAGGTTCTATAGTATGATGTATTCTCTGCCTTTGATTAGTACACTTGTAACACAAAGTTTCTTTCTTTCTTTCTTTCTTTCTTTTTTTTTTTTTTGGAGATAGTCTCACTATGTTGCTCTCAGTAGAGTGTATGGTGTCACAGCTCACAGCAACCTCAAACTCTTGGGCTTCTCTTGACTCAGCCTTCCAAGTTTCTGGGACTTGCAGGCACCAGCCACAATGCCTGACTATTTTTTGGTTGTAGTTGTCATTGTTGTTTGGCAGGCCTGGGCTGGATTTGAACCCACCAGCTCTGGTGTATGTAGCTAACACCCTAGCCTCTGGGCTATAAGTGCCGAGCCCAAATGTAATTTCTATGTTAAAATATATGTGGATTTTTTAATGTGGTGATTTAAAGCCCCCCATCCTTTTTAAAGTAAGATTGACATTTCTTTCAGATCCATATATGTTATGATTTCATGATTATTTTCTGATTTGCCCTGCTTTTATGCCATTTTGATGAAGATGAGATTTCTAGTTAAGGCTGGGGACAAATAGTTCTGAAATGGCAGATTTGAAAGGCTAAAAGACATGTCTCAGAAAATTAAAAGGGCAAGAGATGCAAGTGCTTTGACAAGTTTTTATAGAGACTAATAAGAAAAGAGAATAGAAAAGAAAATATCCCTGTGGTCAAAACCAGGACAATGAATATGCTGTTGATCTCTCCAAAAGTCCTAACAGACTATGCCTGAACCTCACTTGAGAATGTGTCTGTGTCTTCCAAAGCCCCAGATAAATGGCCACTGACCTGATGTGCAATCTGTTACCTGATGTGCAATCTGTTATAGGAGCCAGCAATTGGTAGAGCTGTATGAAAAATAATGAGCTTGATACCAGGCAAAGAGGCAAGAAGTTTGTGTATGATGGAACCTGAGTTTAAAGTTGTTCCCATATAAGGATAACTATCTGCAAGTTACGAAAATACATAGCAGGAGGAGGAAAAGGAAGAAACACTGCTTGATAAAAAGCTACAACTAACATGTGAACACTCCTTGAGTCAGAAAAAAATAGCATTGGTCTTGTCATCAAGTATGTTGGAGTATGAAGCCCCAGCCCTTGCTTTCCCACTTGGACATACTGCTTCAACAGCAATACATGGACCAATATTTGTGAGAAATACAGAGACAAATTGTAATTGCCTTGCACCCTAGGCAGGCAAGTATGAAAGCAGCTGCACTGAAGCCAGTAGGATAATTTATGGTACCCTTTCACTATAATCTCCAGTCCCAGGACAGCGCCACATGATTAAGAGAAAGCTCTCAGATTCTGGGAGACTGGTTATTATGTGCACTGTTCAGATTTCGGTGGGGGGTTGAGGGGGGGCCTGCCTGAGACACTGGTTTCTGTCTTGCCTGAATCTGAGCGTGGACAGGGATAGGTCCCAGGTTGGGAGCAATTGAAAGCAAAAGCAACAGTTTGGACTAATTTGCATTCACTGGCCACAATTCCTCCCACTGATTTAGCACCAAAAAGCAAACAACAACTTTCAAATCCCAGCTCTGCCTGGATAGAGAAAGATTTGGAGGAGCTATCCAATACTACCAGTGTTTGGTGGGCTATCCAAGGGACTAGATTCTACATTATCCATCTTAGTGCTAACAGAGCCCAGCATATTCTATTTAGCTGGGGGCTGCTGAGAACAAAGGCAACAATTTTGGACTAATACATACTCACTTATAGGGCTTTTCCCCATGGTTAACATTACACTACCTGGAATATCACAGACCCTAGATTCCCTTTGGTGGGGGCAAAGAGAAAAATAAAACATACATTAAATGTTCACACTTTCTGGTGGAACTGGTTTCTGTCTCTCTTGCCTGTATCAGAGTTCAGATGGCACCCAACATATTCTAAAGGCCAGTGAGAAAAAAATGCAAAGACCTGAGTGAGAGGTGTACTGCTGCTCCAGATGATCCACATACAAAAAACAGACACCAAAGAGAACAAGAGACTATAAAGGAAGGAAGGAAAAGAAAGAAAGGAGGAAAGAGAGAGAAAGAAAGAGAAGAAGGAACTGGTGAATCTTGCAATTAGAAATTTAAATGCACAATTCCAGAGAAAGCACATCCATAAAGATTTGAGAAGCCCCAGAATCTGAAAATGGGTTGATTGGTGAAGATCTTCCCCTATAATAAAACAAGTTGTAAAGACTGGGAGAAATGGCTATTTTTTTATATGCAGAAATGTCAACAGAAAGTGTCAAAGAATACAAAGAAAGAGGGAAATGTATTCAAAAAAGGGAACAAAATAAATTTCTATAAACCAACCCCAAAGGAATGAAAGTTTATGGATTAATTGACAAAGAATTCAAAATAGCACTCATAAATGTGCTTCACAAAGTCAGGGAAATGATACATAAACAAAATGAAAGTAGTTCAACATAGTGATAGAAACAAATATATGTATAGTAAAAACCCAACATTTTGAAGCTGAGGAATACAATAACTGAAATGAAAATTTTCCTAGGTGAGTTCAATAGCAAAATTGGTCAGGCAAAAGAATCAGTGAACTTAATGGTAGAGCATTTGAAATTATCCAGTCAGAGAAGCAAAAAGAAGAAAATAATGAGAAAGTTTAAAGGACTTATGGGATACCATTAAGCAGATCAATATATATATATTATGAGGATCCCTGAAAGAGAAGATAGGTGAGAGAAAAGTTCATTAAAAAAAACAATGGGTGATAATTTCCCGAAGCTGGGGGAGAAAAGGAGCTTCCAGATTCAAGAATCCTAAAATTTTCCAAATGGAATGAACCCAAAGAAGTCCACACTGAAATAGATCATAATCAAAGTGTCAAAGTTACAAAATGAGCCAGGATCATCTTGTCCTACCAGCTAGCAAAGAAGGTATCAAAATGTATTAGGGTTGTAACAAAAAGAATTGGGGAAACAATCTTCAGAGGCTTCCAGTGGCTCAAGATGGAATGAATTGAGCATAAATAAGAGTAAATACAATTTACATCTTTTGTATTAACCTGGATTTTTTAACCATTATGACCTCATGGATTTATTTTTTTTCAGGTTAATGTGGGGGTACAAACAATTAGGCTACAATGTCTGTGTTTGTTAGGTAGAGTCCCTTTTGTATTTGTGCCCCACACCCAAAAGGTGTGCCATATACCTTTACATTGTGCCCATTAAGTGGGAGCACACCAATCCCTTCCTGTCTCATAGAGTTGAAATTCATTCTTCTTATTAAAGTATCACAAGAAAGGAAAAGCAAGTCTCCAATGTACTCAATACTAATATTAAACCAGTAGATGATCTAATATATGCCCACATAAGAGAAAAACTCAATTCAATTCAAGTTCAGGGAGGGGAATGATGGAGGGAGGAGAAGGGAAGGGATTTGTATACAATCCATGAGGATATAAAAAAGTAAGAAACCAGGCTATCCTCACCATGTTAAGCTTTGCCATCTTCCCCACCAGCTACTTGAAGAGCCCTCTTCCTCTTCCATCATCTAAGTGCAGAAGCCCTAAGGAAATCAGTGCCTCTAATGACTCATCTGTTTTCTTAAAAAAGGACCCTACATCTGTGCATGTATGATCCAGCTCAAGGAAGAATGCCCATGGTACTCTAACAATACATAGTATTTATGTCTTTAGAGAGTACCTAAGGAAATATAAAGAGATATATTTTGTTACTCAATTGGTAATTATATGTTGGGGTTTGTAGAAGTTTTATTTTTCATTTATTTCTCTCTTATTTTCTTAGGACCCACATTCTGCCAAGTATTCATTGTATCAAGAATTACTAATAGGTAGATAGCATAATATCTTTATATCTGAAAAGTAAACTGTGTATTTTGCTTGTTACATTTTTAAAGGTAGAGGTGTCCAAGTTTGAAGCTTTGGAAGAAGTTAGTGCTGAACTGAAGCTCAAACAATTGCTCTGGGATTCTCTCTCTGAATGGGATAAACTCCAAGAAGAATGGTTACAGGTAGAAAAAGGCTCTCAATTCTTAGATTATCTTTGTACTAATTAAACTTAAAATCCTCTTAACTTGATTTATAATTTTTAATAATCTGGTATTTTCTTACTGTCACTAAAATATGCAATGTTATAATTTTATGGGAATTTTTATAAGCTTTCCAGTGCTATGTATAAAGGTCCTTATGTCAGTACATGGTACAGAGCAGAAAATCTTAGGCAGACTTCTTAGATCTTCTACTTAAGATGGCTAAATAACAGAAGCATCAATTACCCTCACTGCGTGACATTTAACCACTTTGGTTTCTAAACGCAGTGGTAACACAGTGTAACATTATACACTCCAGTGTTTGGAAGGATAGAATTGTAGGATTTTATTTGTGTTGTATGCAGTTTTGGTTTCTGTTAACTTAGGTTTATGTTCTTGTTGTCCTTTTAAAAAAGGAAACCATTTTATTTTGTTTGATAGAATAGAATTGGAGTAATAAGATCTAAGATCTTCCTTTTAGAGCTCCGTAAGAAAACTCTCTTACTTAGGGAGCCAAGTACCTACAGCCACCACAGAGATTTGTTTCTAGGATTTACCCTATATTTAAACCTTAAAAAGTCTAAATAACAGACTAGATGGACACCTGTGCTTCCATCTAGTGTGATAGGTATGTGTTATAAATACTATCAAACTTGATAAATATTGTTTTATACTTCTCATTCATCTTGCCTGTGCTAATGCCTATAATTAGAAGTCACATATTTGGGTTAAAAAAGAGTGACACAGGAAATGTCTCCAAGCTATATGCTGGGAGTATCAGTGGAGAATAAGAAGGACAAAGTCCAAACCCACAAAAAACTTAGTTTTTGGTAACAAAATAATAAACCAATAAATACAAGATATAATATCATATAATTTGAAGTATTCTCCTATAATGCACTTATCACTTAGAAGTAAAAAAAAAAAAAATTCTTGAGAAGGAAGAAGCTTAAGAAAATTTTCTGATTACCACCACAGGCAGAGCAGTGACTTCCAAAGTAGGATACATTCACTCTAGGAAATGCACAAGAAAACCCATTAGGGAGCAGAAAGATAATGTTGAATCTGGAAAAAAGAAATAAAGGTTTACAAATGTTGTATTGCCTTCAGTGCATATGGTTATCTGACATGTCAATATATTTGCATATTTATATAATTGAGAAATAGAATTATAGATTTATGTATATGTTACAGGTGCATCTTTAAAGCATTTCTATTAAATGGGTACATATAGGAGACTATTAGGTGATAAATTTCTCATTAGAAAGAGTAAAAATTAGCTATTTGTCTCCTTAGAAGACTATATGAGTAATGATCCTCAGAAATAGACTATAGAGATTGCACTACTGCATTTGATGATGTGGTAGACAAGAACATGACAGGAATAAACAGGTGATGCTTGATATATTATTAGCTATTAATAATAAGTAGAGCCATTTCTAAAAGAACGGAGTCTATTTGTATTAATAATTTCACTACTAGGAAAATTCAAATAAAATAAACCTTTTTTTAAATAAAACCAGCACATTGTACCCCATGACTGCATTAATGTACACAGCTATGATTTAATAAAAATAAAATAAAAATAAAAAATGAAATAAGCCTTTTTTATTATTACAAATTTGCCTTTTATCATGTTTTAAGTTTATTATTTTTTTAATTTTCACAGTCCAAATTTGACTGCCTTGATCCAGAATTCCTAAATGGTCAAGTTACTAAATATGCCAAATTTGTGACTCAGCTGGAAAAAGGCTTACCACCCAACAGTGTAGTGCCCCAGCTCAAACAGAAAGTGGAAAAAATGAAGGAAAAGGTAAGGTTGATAGAAAATTATTTCAAAAACTCCAGATCAATCAGTTATTAATGGATGCTAATAAGACTGAACTCAAGAATTCTTTCCTGGTTAAGTTAGTAAACTTTGTAGACAAAAGAAAGAATAGAGAAATTCATCTTCTTCAGTGGCACAGACTGCATCCCTATCTCCAGCTGGCCAAACTGTGTAGTTGAATACCGAAGTTAGAAGAGACATTCGTAGTAAGAGTTTTCCAAGTGGTAGGGGAAATAATGCAGGAACAGGTAGTAGTTGTGCAAAGATACTGATCTGATCAGCCCTTAGTAGCCAGATGCACCTAGGACAGCCTTATTCAAGCATCTTTGTCCATTTGAACCACTGCACCATACAACCATGCCATTTTCCAGATGTGCCTCACGTGAATAAGGTTGGAAGCCAGATAGCAAGTGTATAGGGGCTCTGAGTTCCTTGTCTCTATAATTTGTTTTTAATTTTGAAAACTTTGCACCAGTATTTTTTCAAGTATTTCTTCTGCTCTGTTTTCTCTCTCTCTCTTCTCCTTTGTGATTTCTATTGCATGTATGTTTGCCATTTGATATTGTCCCACAGGTCTTACATGTTTTATTTTGTTTTTTTCATTTTTATTCTTTTTTTCTCTTTGTGTATCAGTTTCTGGAATTTATACTCATTTATCTTTAACTTCATTAACTCCTCAGCTGTGTCAAGCTCATTAAAGCCTATCAAAAGCTCTACCAGGAGGGCTTACTGCAGGGGGCATTAGCTCATGCCTATAATCCTGGCACTCTGGGAAGCTAAAGCCAATGGATGGCTTCAGCTCAGGAATTGGAGACCAGCCTGAGCAAGAGCAAACCCCTCTCTCTAAAAAATAGGTGGGCATTGCAGCAGGTGCCTGTAGTCCCAACTACTTGGGAGGCTGAGGAAAGAGGATCACTTGAGCCCAAAAGTCTGAGGTTGCTTAAAAAAAAAAAAAAAGTCTGAGGTTGCTGTAAGCTATGATGGCACAGCACTCTACTGAAGGTGACCAAGTGAGACTCTGTTAGAAAAAAAAACAAAGGTTTTTCAAGACTTTTCATTTCACTGACCTTTTTATTTTTAACATTTTTGTTTGATTTGTAATTTTACTTTCCATCTTTCTGTTGATATTTCTCAACTGATTTTGTATGTTATCTACTTCATTAGATCCTTTAAGATATCATAGCTACTTAAAATTCTCTATTTCTAATATGTATGTCATTTCTGAGTCTGGTTCTGATTATTGTTTTATCTCTTATGGTTTTTCTTGCCTTTTTATATGCCTTTTAAATTTTTTGTTAAACCCATATATCTTACATAGTACAGTGAATACTGAGATATAAAATTTTTATACTTAGAGATAAGCACGCCATTCCTTCTTCTTGGCTGTTTGCATGACATGTCTGCTCACTCTAGTTAGGAATTGAGCTAGATTTAAAGTTTGTTGTTACTATGTTTACCCTTCCTGTATCACAGACTTCAAACTTTTCTAGTAATACCTTGTGTTTAGGGTTTTAGCTAGTTTATCAATTTCTTCTCCTGACCTTGTCCTCCCTTTTTTTGTGGGCAATTAAGAATCTGTCCCTTTCATCTTTCCCCTCAGTATTCCACTGTTATTTTCACTCAGTACTTAAGATGTGGGGGAACATTCCCTCATGTTCTGATTAATCTTCTACCTTACCAAGGCACTATATTTCTTGTCCTCAGAATTCTAATCTTCATAGGTACTTCTCCCCTTCTCCAGCTATAGTACTGGGCCTAGCAAGTATTTCTGTCTCTCTCCCAGGGGTAGACTTTTTTCCATGTTCTGTTTCTCCAGTTATATTCAGATACCTTCAATGGCTTATCACCAGTGCTATAGAGTAATAGGATGTGTTGGTCTTTTGCTTATACATCAGGGGTTTTGTTTGATGGGGGAGCTAAGGGAGATGGGTTGATTAGAGTTAAGATAGTTAAATAGCCCCAAACTGAAAACAATATAAAAGTCAATCAATGAGAAAATGGACAAACAAATTGAGATATAGAAATACAATCACAGGGAATGAAAAAGAAAATACAAATACACTTACCAGTCACCTACATAAAAAAAAAGTTAAGAGTTAAAGTAGTGGCTATTGTTTTCCTGTTCTAGCTAGCACCACATGGGACACTTTCTTAGGAGTCTTTCCAATCTTCCCTGCCAACACTCCCATATTTGGAGGCCCAAAGACTCTACATTCTCATGTTACCCCACACTCAGTCTTTAGCAATTTGTTTTTAAAATTCAGCTGAATCTTTTTTCTATCTTGTATGTCATCCCAAGGAATCTGCCTCAGGCAAGCAAATTCTCAGTTACTTTTTCTCCCTGTGTAGAAACCTATGGGAATTGGTCTGCCCCAAATTTTGAGTTATTTGTGCCCAGAAAATTCAGTTTTCTGATAGGTTCTAGAAAATTTATTAATTCTGAATTTGTCCAAATTTTTCTTTATTGTACAAGTATAAGTTGAGCTCTTCACAGCTTCCACATTCACAGATTGAAACCAGAAGCCTTAGGTTGTATTTTTAAGATAAAAAATATGGTGCTTCTCAGAGTGTTTGTTTTCCAGCTTCCAGTTATCATGGACTTAAGAAACCCAACTCTAAAGCCTAGACATTGGGCAACTATTGAACAAACAGTTGATGCTGTCCTGGTGGAGGCTGAAGTCCCATTGACCTTGGAACGGCTCTCAGAGTTACATGTTTTTGAATTTGCACAAGAAATCCAGGACATATCTGGACAAGCTTCTGGAGAAGCTGCCTTAGAAACACTTCTTAAAAAGGTAAATCTTCAAAATATTACATGCATATATATTCTAAAAATCAGGAAATATAAAGGAAGGGTTTTAGATTCAAGATGAAGATCATCAAATTTTGGTTATCTGGATGAATTTATTAAAATTGCAGCTTTTGCCCTCTAATTATCAGTCATCCTTCTGTTGTTGCCTTATGTTCATTATTATTGCTATCACCTGTACAAATCTGCTCTTTCTGCTTAGCCTATAATCCACAGGAACTTGACTGCAAAACATTTTGAAATGTGTATTCTTATACAAAGAACCCATACCAACAAAGATCATTTATAACAAAATACAGTATCTTCCAAACTGCCAGAAAAGTCTGTGTTAAATGCTTCAAAGGGCATTGGTGAAGACTTTCCTACATCTGATTACTCTAAAAATGGATGTACAACTACCAGCTGCCTGCATAAAAAGAAAATTGTTTCTCTTAAAATTTAAAATGGAAGGGAAAACACATTAAAGTATCATAAGTAATTTATAGACGTTAATAAAATAAAGCAAATTTGTTTCATCGAATCAAGAAGAATTTAAACATTTTAAGAGCAATAAAAAAGAAAATGGTATAATTATGAACTTTTTACTGATTTTTATGCCACGTGTATTTCTTAAGTACCTAACCACAAATGAATTAAGCTCTCCTAAGGCTTAAATTATCTCTAAGGTGGAGGATTCCTGGAAAACAACTGAATTTGTCATTCTACCTCACCGTGACACCAAAGATGTGTTTATCCTGGGAGGCACAGATGACATTCAGGTAGGTATCTGGGTTATTGAAAATTTATAATATAGAGGTCCTAACCACACCTAGTCCTAAATCTTCTTTGGGAGATTATTATGAAGTAACAAAATACGAGAATCACTAAATGAGAAAAAATTTAATTGGGAAAGCAAGATATAAATACAAATAGTTGACATGAGAGTTTGTGCATAAAATATTTAGCAAAGCAATAAAAATGTCATATATGTGTAAGACTTATAATCGTATAGTTGATAACTGTTGAGGAATTTAGAAAAGCAAAGAAATCAGTTATGGCTAAAGTGATCAGGGAATTTTTCCTAGACCAGCTACAATAAGCTGAAACTTAACAATTAAGTAGGACTTCATCAACATAGAAGAGAATAAAGGGCATTTCAAGCTGTTTTCAAAAGGCAAAGAAACACAAATGAGCATTTCATGTTTGTAGCACACTGAAAAGCTAAATTCACTTGAGTTTAATGAGATTAGGAGTAGGTGCTCTATCAGCCACAAATGACGATAAATCTAACCCATGTGTTTGGAATATTCTTAGTCACTTAAAATCTGAAAGTACATTTGTTTAGCAAAAAAAGATGGGCCATATAGCCCAACTTAAATGGCAAAGTCCTATAAAGTGAGGTGTACTCAAGCCAGAATTGGAGATAACATGGCTCTGCCAGGGGTCAAGTGGAAGAGCAAGACCAGTCATCAGTCTACCAGCGGATGAGAGGGCAGACCCAAGAAAAGGCCAGGAAGTCTGAAGCCAAGTGATGCCAGGTGATGGAGTTTCAGCTCTCAAGAAGTTTATAATTGAAACAAACCATTAAATCCCTCAGATTAATGTTCATTCTTTAATTCACATATTCTGTGTGGGCTGCTGCTGTATAAGGGGCTGAGAGAGGGGTGTGAGGTGGAGGGAAAACTGGCTATTCCATTCAAAGCTTGATACCAATGAATTCATCACTTTGCTTCACCATGACTCCAAAGATGTATTTATTCTGGGTAGCACAAATGACATACAGGTGGGTAACTGTGTTATTGAAAACTTATGGTAAACATTCTATCCACACCTACTCCTCAGTCTTCCTTGAGAGATAATGATGAGTTCAATTTACTCTTCCTTAAGATAAGTGAGAGAAGACAGCCGATTTTCTCAAGCACAGGGTATTTTGAGAAGTGAAGGCCTGTCTGGGTGACCAAACTGTGTAAAGAATGTAGCAATTACCCAACAGGTAGAGCAAGAGAGAAGAAGAATGTTAAACTAAACAAAAACTTGTGTCATTAACAATTACAGGAATGGCAGAAATTTGGCATTCAGACATCCCTGGGTGACATTTGAAAGAACACCATAATGGATTGTAAGCCACAATGATGAGAATAAGTAGGGGAAATTGATGAGTAGGAAAGAGTCAGTGGGGCTAAGCTACTATATTCATTCAAAGAGTTGGCCTTTAAATGGACTCTTGGGATTAAATATCTGAAATATTACTAGGAGCACAAATAAATAGCACTGCATATACTTTCATCCTTTTCTTTAAAGGTTCTTCTTGATGATAGCACCATCAACGTTGCAACCATTGCCTCATCACGTTATGTTGGCCCACTAAAAACTAGAGTGGATGAGTGGCAAAAACAACTTGCTCTATTTAATCAAACACTGGTGAGTAAGGGTACTTTCAATTCATGGACTTGGAGAATTAGAGTGACAGTTACCTTAGAAACAATTTGTTCCATCATTTAAGTATTATATGGTTCAAAAAAGTAAGATTTACTTGGCAATATGTTATGATGCTTAGAATGTAAGGGAAGTACACATATATTGAGCACTTCTTTACATAGCTATACAGTTGAATGTTATTGCCATTGCCCTTGTGCGAGCATGCATCAAAAATATCTCAGGTTTGGTTCCAGACCATCATACTACAGTGATTATAACAATAAATATAATTGCTCAAATTTTTTGGTTTCCCAATGAATAGAAAAGTTCTGTTTATACATGTTGTAGTTTATTAGGTATACAAAAATATTATGCCTAAAAATAAAAAAAATGTGGGAGGGCCAAAATGGTAGACTAGAAGAAGCCTACACAATGACATTCTTGCAGACAGAATCATTTAAGCATTCCACATTGTGTATCAAATCATCACATTGTACTTTATAAATGTATACAGTCATGATTTAATAAAAATTAAATTTAAAATAAATAAAAATAAAAATTTTAATACCTAAAAAATCACAAAACAAAAGGAACAGAGAAGAGAATCCCAGGCTCCATGCTTCCCCTGAGAATACTGTGCTCAAAGGAGTAGGAGGGCCCCTCCACCTCACCAGACCTCCAGAACAATACCAAGACCTGACTAGAGGCTGTGCAAATGATTGTAAGCCTTGGGCACTGCAGCTGGTGCCCATGTGACATCCCAACCTCAGAATGCTACTCCTGCCCAGATCTGTGACTGTTGCCTCCCCCTTGCTGGACAGAAAGAGAACAGGCAGTCCCAGTACTTGTGCACACCCATGAGCAGGTGACATGCACACCCATTTTCACTGCCACTGCTAAGGGACCTAGGCAGAGCAGATTACAGCCCAATGCTGATTTGTGTGGCCTGGGCGATACTGCTCAACCCAATAGCCTGTGGGACCTGGGGGGAGCATGTACTCATACCCCGGGTGCCCACTACCCACTGTGGGGCAGCTGTGCAGCTGCCACTGCCACCACTGTCTGGGAGACATTGAGTATGTGGAGAGCCAGTTCAGCCTGTGACCTAGGCAAACTGCACATCTCAGACCCACACCATCCCAAACAGGTGCTCTGTGGGTACCCTGTCCCACCCAGACTGGCAGTACTGCAGGAACACCGTTCCGTGTGACCTGCTCCATCTCATGCAGGTGACCTGTCCTGTGAGCCTACTCTGTCCCCTAAGGCCCACTCTGCCACATGCCTGCACCACAACCTATGGCCTTCTCCACACCAAGGGATTGGAGTAAATCCCCTGTTCAACCCCCGGGGCCCATTCTGCCTCACAAGCCTGCTACATCCCACAGGCCCACTACACCCTGCACATTTGTTAGACCCTGAATGTACACCCTAAGTTTTTTAAAATTAAAAAATCAAATACAACAAATAAATAAAAATAAAATAAATGTAAACAGTGGTAATCACCAATGGGTTATAATGTGATGTTTTAATTTTTTATATTTTATTTGGTGACATTTTCTATTAAATCATAATCCACATTAAGAAACATAAAAGTTGGAATATAAAATTTAAAAAATGCTGTTGTGTTTATTAGGCTGTAGAGCACAGTGGCAAATATTTGTTTGACTTAAAATTCAAATCATGGCAGCAGTGTCCAGTCACTGCGATTAATAAGCAAGTCCTCTTGATCATGCTACTCTCAATAAAAATTTTTTCATGAATAACTAAAAAAATGCATACCTTAATTTAAAAATACTTTATTGCTAAAAGATGCTAACAATCACCTAAGCCTTCAGTGAATCATAATCTTTTTGCTAGTACAGGGTCTTCCCTGGGTGTTAATGGCTGCTGACTGATCAGGGTGATGGTTGCTGCAGCTTGGGGTAGCTGTAGCAATTTCTTAAAGTAAGACAGCAATGAAATTTGCTGCATTAATTGACTCTTCCTTTCACAAAAGATTTCTCTGTAACACGCAATGCTGTCTGAAAACATTTTCCCCATAGCAGAACTTCTTTCAAACTGGAGTGAATCCATTTAAATCCTGCCATTGCTGTATCAGCTGTTTATGTAATATTCTAATTCCTTTGTTGTCAAATCAACAATGTTCACAGCAGAGTCACAAGAAGTAGATACTACTTTCTTTGCTTATACAGAGGAAGCAATTGCTCATCAAGTTTTATCACGAAACTGTAGCAATTCAGTCACCTCTTCAGGCTCCATTTCTAATTCTAGTTCTCTTGCTGTTTCCACCATCCCCAGTTAATTCCACTGAAATCTTGAACCCTTTAAACTCATCTATGAGGGGTGGAATTAACTTCTGGTTTTGTTTGTTTGTTTGTTTGTCTTTTTCCTAAGACAGAGTCTCATTCTGTGCCCTGGGTAGAGTGCTGTAGCATCATAGCTCACAGCAACCTCAAACTCTGATGCTCAAGCAATCCCCTGGCTTCAGCCTCCCAAGTACCTTGGACTACAGTTGCTGCAACACCCAGCTGGTTTTTCTACTTTTAGTAGAAACAGGGTTAATAACAGTAGAGACTCCTGTTAATATTCATATTTTTTACTTCCTCCTATGAATTATAAATGTTCTAATGGTATCTAAAATGGTGAATCCTTTCCAGAAAGTTTTCAATTCACTATTCCCAGATCCATCAGGGGAATACTATCTATGAGAAGTGGAACCTTATGAAATGTATTTCTTAAATAATAAGATTTGAAAGTCAAAACTACTCTTTGATCTGTTGGCTGAAGAACAGATATTGTGTTAACAGCCATGAAAACAATATTAATCTCCTCATACACCTCCTTCAGAGCTCCTGGGTGATTAGGTGCACTAATATTTTGAAAAGAATTTTTTTTTCTGAACAGAAGGTCTCAATGGTGAGTTTAAAATATTTAATAAACCATGCTGTCAACAGATGTGCTGACATCCAGGCTTTATTTTTCTTTCAAAGAACACAGATAGAGAAGATTTAGCATAATTTCTTAAGGGTCTTAGGATTTTTTTGAATGATAAATGAGCACTGGCTTTAACTCAAAGTCACCAGATTCATTTGCCCCTAACAAGAGCCAGCCAGTCCTTGAAGTTTTTAATCAGGCATTGACTCCTCCTCTCTAGCTATGAAAGTCCTAGATGGCACCTTCTTCGGATAAAAGACTATCTCATCTATATTGAAAATCATTTGTTAAGTGTAGCCACCTTCATCAATGATCTTAGCCAGATCTTCCAGATAAGATGATGCAGCTTACTGCTTTATTAGCACTTGCTATTTCACCTTGTACTTACGTTGTGGAGATGACTTCTTTCCTCCAACTTCATGAGCCAAAATGTACTAGTTTCCATCTTTTCTTCTGAAGCTTCCTCACCTCTCTCAGCCTTCACAGGATTTAAGAGCATTTGGGGGTCTTGCTCTGGATTAGGCTTTGGTTTAAGTGGCTGGTTTGATCTTCTATCTAGACCACTCAAACTTTCTCCATATCAGCAACAGGCTGTTTTTCTTTCTTATCATTCATGTGTTCACTGGATTAGCACTTTTACTGTCCTTCAGAAATTTCCTTTTATTCACAACTTGGCTAACTGGCTCAAGAAGTCTATCTTCCAGCCTATCTGAGCTTTCAATATGCCTTTCTCCCTAATCTTAATCATTCCCAAAACTCTTCCTTTCACTCGAACATATAGAAGTCATTGTTGGGTTACTAATTGGCCTAATTTCAATACTCTGGTGTCTCAGGGAATAGGAAGGCCTGGGAAGAGGCAAAGAGACAGAACAACTGGTCAGTGGAGCAGTTAGAACACACGCATTTATCAATTGTTTGCTATCTTATATGGGCACCATTTGTCATGCCTCAAAACAATTGCAAATAATAACATCAAAGACCACTGATCAAAGATCACCATAATGGACATAATAATAAAAATTTTGAAATATTGCAAGAATTACAAAAATGTGATATGAAGACATTAAATAGGCACATGCTGCTGGAAAATGGTGCCCACAGACTTGCTCAATATAGGGTTGTCATAAGCCTTCAATTTGTAAAAAGCACAGTATCTGCCAAGATCAATAAAGCAAATCATGATAAAATGAGGTAAGCCTATATTATTATTTTGCTGTGAAATGAATGTGAACAATATGCATTTATCCCAGTTTATGTGGGTCAATAGTTCTAGGTCTCATGAGGCTACTATCAAGATAGCAATCAGATTGTGTTCTCATCAGAGGTTCAACTGGGGAAGAATCTGCTTCCATGCTCACTCAAGTTGTTGGCAGCTATTTCCTCACAACTCTAGAACTGACTAAGGGATTCAGTTTCTTGCTGTCTTTCACCCAGAAGCCCTCCTTAGCTCCTAGATTTTTTTTTCTGCATTGACTTCCCAGGTGACCATTTTCTGAATCAATTTAGCAAGGAAGAAAGTCTCCTGGAAAGATGACTTATGTTACAGTCCTATGTAACATAAACGTAATTATGTGTAGCTAGGTGCCTACACTGAAGGGGAGGGGATCACACATAATGGGAGACACCTTAAGAGTCTTTCCTTACTGGAAGGACATTCATTGTTGCTTGAGGTCACCTTGGAACCCTTCCTTGTGGTACTCATCTTTTTATTTCACATAGTAGACTACCTTAGATGATTCTAGAAAAACAAAGAACACACTTACACTGATCTCACTTTTTTCCATCCAATCTCTTTCCTGGATTTCAGATTTTTAGTTTGATTTAATTATGTTTAGGTTTCTATATATTCTAATGTGAAACATTATCTGTGAAATAATAAAGGTAGTAAATGGGGAAAAATGATTTGTGGCCACTTTGATTCAAAGAGAATTCTTTCAGAAAGCTACATGAACACCACATTGTCTGCCCCATATTCAGCCCTCTGGACTGATGGCTGAGCCTTGGGCAGGGAGGGACCTTAGTCAAAGTAAAAAGGCATATTTTCATAGAGAGTCCTTAAAAGAAGCCTA